TTATTTATAAATTAATTTAATATGTTAAATAATAGGTATAAAATAGAAAAAATTTTGTTAAAAAAATGAGATTATACTCCCCATTAACTTTGTTAGGGTTATTAATTTATCATTAATTGTATTTGTAATTTTATTAATTTATAATTTTTTAATAATTAATTATAATATTTAAAAATATTTATTTATAAATTAATTTAATATGTTAAATAATAAATATTAATTATTAACTATTTTTAACTATTAAAATAAGATAAAATTAATGATAAATTGGTGACCCTAACAAATATAGTGGTGACAATAAACCATTGCCAATTTAAATACACGGGCTCCGGCCCAACTTAGGGGAGGAAGAGCTAAGGGCATCAAAAAGCCCAAAGGACCTTAACACAGCCCCTTGAGCCTAGGCGGCTAGGCCCACCTGAGGTCTTCTGTTTTTTAAGACCCCAGCATATAAGCTGGTAGAACGTTGAGGCTGTAATCTTCAGTCTCCAAGCGTTCCTCCCTTCTCCTCCTCCTCCTTCACCGGCCGGATGGTCTGATACGGTGCTCGATTATCACCGTCGCCATTCTGAATTGAGGTTGGGTTCTTCATTTTCTATATTGGAATGTGCATGCAAATGCTGTAATCATGCTTGTGTATATGTATGCTTGTAGAAACTAGTCAATTCGGCGATAGTTTTGTTCCTTCAATTTGATTTTATTTGTATTCTAGATGATTTATTGAAAGATGGCTAATTATGTGCAGATTTCCAATCAGAGTAATGAAATTACATTTTATATGTATAGTGAGGAATGCATTCTGCACCGGTTAATGCACAATTGAATGAAATCTGAGATCTGAAATTAAGACTTCGCTTCATTTTTAGTTTTTGAAGGTGACTGAGAAAACGTAGAAAGTTTTTAGTTTTAGGTAGCTTGCAAAACGGTGTAGTTACTGAGAAATCATTTTCTATGCAATTGAAAATTTTTCTTAAGGGACCCAACTCAAGGGTGATATTGAACTGTAATGTTGACAGGTAACAGATAAATGCCTGCACAAAAGTTTGAATCGGGTCATCAAGACACTGTCCATGATGTGGCAATGGATTATTATGGCAAGCATATTGCCACTGCCTCATCAGATAACACGATTAAGATGATTGGAGTAAGTGGCACAACCAATCAGCATCTAGCAACTATTCAGGGTCACAAAGGACCTGTTTGGGAGGTGGCTTGGGCTCACCCGAAGTTTGGTTCTTTACTTGCTTCATGTTCCTATGATGGGCGTGTCATGATATGGAAAGAAGGGAATCAGAATGAGTGGAGTCAAGCTCATGTTTTTGGTGAGCACAAGTCTTCTGTCAATTCAATTGCTTGGGCTCCTCATGAAGTTGGACTCTGTTTGGCTTGTGGTTCATCTGATGGGAACATATCAGTCTTCACTGCAAGAACAGATGGTGGTTGGGACACCTCAAGGATTGACCAAGCTCACCCAGTTGGTGTCACTTCTGTTTCATGGGCCCCATCAACTGCACCTGGAGCACTTGTTGGTTCTGGTTTGCTTGATCCTGTTCATAAACTTTGCTCTGGTGGCTGTGATAATACATAAAGGTGTGGAAGCTCTACAATGGGATCTGGAAACCGGACTGTTTCCCAGCACTCCAAATGCATACAGATTGGGTCAGGGATGTTGCTTGGGCACCCAACTTGGGCCTACCAAAATCCACTATTGCAAGTGTCTCTCAGGACGTAAAAGTAATTATATGGACTGTCGCCAAGGGAGGGGATCAGTGGGAAGGGAAGGTTTTGAATGATTTCAATGCCCCTGTTTGGAGAGTCTCCTGGTCACTGACTGGAAACATTTTGGCTGTGGCTGATGAGAACAACAATGTAACATTGTGGAAAGAAGCTGTAGATGGGGAGTGGCAACAGGTGACAGTAGTTGAGCCATAGAACTCTAATATTCCCATCTCTCATAATACCAGTCAATGTTCTAGGGCACATTTTGTTGATTTATCAGAACTGCCATCTTCACCTTTTTCACACCATTACACAGTTGATTAGTTTTCTTGGATATTCTTCAGTGATTGCTGGTCTTTTAAATGCTTCAAAGCATTATATTTAGAGACGAGGTATCTGGAAGTCTAGAAGTTCTATTGAGATTTACCTGCTGGGCTCTAGCCTTCTAGGACATTGTTGCTAGAACTAAAACAATGATTCTGAGATAGTAGAAATGTTGACAAATATGATATTACAAAACTTAAGCGAATAATTTGTGTAGAAAAAGTGATGCATAATTTTGAGAAAATGGAATAATTGTTGCCTCCCACAGTGCATAAAGGTCAAAGAATTATTTCTGAGAACGTTACTGATTTTATCTCTTTTGTGGTTCTTTTCTTATATGAATTACCATGTAGGAATGAATCATCTATCTTTTCAACTGTACAATCTCTTGTTTATGCTATTGCTTTGGATGGTGAAATTTAAGAACATTATGACTGTTTGATCTTTGAATTCAAATGGACTGTCTTTGGCTAATGCTTGTGGAAATTCCTTTCTGTAACTACTGTCAATATTGGGTATGGGCTGCAAAGAGATGGTATTTATGCTTTTATCAGGCACCAGCTGGAGCATGGATTCCTCCTTTTTGCCTCAGCTTTCAAGAATATATACCATATGATCCCTTTTGTATTGATAACTGGCATTGCATGCAATGTATCTAGTTGTGTAGATTTGTTTTGATATGTCTTGTGGTAAGGCTGATTTTCAATAGTATTGTTTATATTTCATGGTTAAGGTAGCTTTTCTCAGCGTCTGTCTCCTGATCTGGTAGTGAATATTCATGCACATTGTCACGTGGCAAGCATATTTCTTTTTTATATCGTTTTGTTCTGGCTTCCTGGTGTGTATGTAGTCTTGATCCTATTCCATGTTTGCAATATCATGTTCTAACATCAATCAATAAACATGAAGTTGAACTACCTTGTAGGAAGTCTCTAACTAATTCATATACTTCTGCAATTTATTCTCTTTTTTTTGGTATCAGATAATGTATTGTGTGATAGTAAATAAATCCTTTGTTAAACCCTTCTTCGCCATTGGCTAAAAAAACATTGCTTTCTCATGTTAAAGTTTAAATTTAAAACTTCTATTGTGAAAGTTTAAGTTCTTTAGTGCTAGTGATATTGTTTTTGTTGCTAAATTATTGTAAATTAGAAAGAGCAGTGTTCTTTTCCCTCCTCTGTCATAAGACAATTTTTTTATTATTGTTAAATCAGCTCGACATAAACCAAATGAATTACTTTAATTTTTACTTTATTTTTGAGTATTTCTTGTCTATTTTTAGATCCAAAATTCTCTCTAATTTATGAGTATTTTTAATGTAAATTCGAGGGTTCGTTGATGCACTATATAACAAAAATGTGATGATATTCTTACAATTCGCACGTGCTATCATGTTCGCTTGTGTATGCATGTGCATTGTGTAAACATGGGATGGGAAGGAATAAGGCACGTGTGGGCGGAAGCATGGAAGGAAACTGCATAGAAGTGGTATAAAGATAATTTTTTATTAGTTTTTTATATAATTTTTACCCATTATTCTTTTGGTATTAATTTTTAGTATTCAAAACTCAATTATATCATGGTTAACTTAAAATCGAGTTACCTTATATTTCATAAGGAAAATATTTTTAATATTTATTTATAAAATTTAAATTTAAGATTTTATTTTTTAAAAAAATTGAGTTTTTTTACTTTAAATTTTTACTCATTATTAAATGAGTAGATATACTTAATATTATAAGTTTTAAATTTTAAATAAATAAAAGAATAGGTTATTTAATATATAAAATTATACTAAAAAATAAAATAAAATTTATCCCTAAATCACTTTTTAAAATGCTTATTAACAAAGTCCACTGATTCCGGCCACGTGGAATTTTGACCCCACCCTTAACCTGAAAGCAACTCGCAACTCACAACTCACATGATTGCTGACAACATCTCCTTTCTCACGTGCTCCGTGGCCCTCACACACTTACTCTCTCTTTTACAATACTCCTAAGTCCTAAGCCCTAACCCACCCTCCCCCACCCCCTTTTTTTTTTAATAATGAACAGTACTCCACCGCTTTGAATGAAGGAAAATACCATATTTAACACCCTGTATAGTTTCATTTAATTGTCTAATTTA